CCCCCCCCCCCCCACATCTTAAGGCCCTTTGTCTTTGCAAGACAGGATTCATTTTTGCCTTGGATCTCTAGACCGCCCTTCTCGTCATCTTACCCCTCTGGAGTGACTGGGGGCGGAACAGCATCAGTGTCAGGTCGGCTGTCAGGCTATTTGTGAATCGCACCCCCCTTCCCTCCCACTGGGATATAGAGTGAGTGACAGCAGCGCCCCCTGTGTGTCACTCTACAGCGCTGCGCCGCGGCTCCAGACGTGCTGGCCCCTCTGACGCCTCTCTTCTGACTCATTACAGGTGAACAGAAACCTGAATAAAATGGAGCCATTAACCTCATAGTGATTTATACACCCGGAAATCTTCACAAATGCTTAATGTGCATGGTGTAGCGCTGGCTACTGTTCCTGGACAGCAGAAATAGCAGCATAAAAGTCAGGAATAAACTGGGCCGCACACATTACCTGTAATAAGCATCCATCTGTCCATCCGTCTTCTGTAACTACTTAGCCAGTTCAGAATCCTGGGGAGCCTGGAGCCTGTCCTGGGGGCAGCCAGGGCATGAGGGCTGACACTGGAGATATATATATATATATATATATGTACACACACACACACACAAGCACACACACGTATAAGTCTAAATGCATATATAAACATATGAATATAGGACATCTGTGACCGTGTTTCATGCTGTAGGACTGCGTGACCTCTGTACTCTCCCCGTGAAACGCATTTCCTGGCCAAACTAGATCTGTGTCTCGCTGTACTCCTGAAATCGCGGCCGGGCCATTCCCGGTGAGCTGCTGGCCCTCTGGCTCCGGGGTCCAATTTGGGCCGGGAGAGGAGGCAAAATTAGGCACGGCAAGAGTGGCGGCCATTTCCCGGGAGCTCAGAAGAGCGCGAGGGCTCCCGCCCTCAGGAGAGCGACGGCCCGCATAACCGGCCCTGGCAGCCTTTCGCTGTGGCATTAGCCCTCGCCGAGACTCGGGTAATGGTGTGAGAGAACGCCGTCAACGTGCCAGCTCCCTGTCCGTGTTCCTGCCATCCGCATTGGTTTCTTTCTTGTCCTTTGCCGACCTTTGCCAGGTCAGAATGGCCCCTCCTCCCACCTCCTGCACGTTGGTCGGGGCACAGACCAGTGTCCAACCCCCCCCCCCGATAGCAGGAACACGGAAGAAAACATTGAGGCCGGCATCTTCACGGCCCAATTTTTTGGGTTCTTCCATCAGTCGGAAGCTGATGGCCTACGGTACATGTTCAGCTCAGAAAGATCCCGTCACGGTGACCTAAAAATAAACCACCCCCCCACCTCTCCCATAATTCTATTTTAGGGCATCAATATGTTTTGGTACTGCTTAACATATTCCAGCCCCCGGTGTTGAGAGATAGGCTAAGAAGAGGCTCTTTCGCGGCCGAGAGCCGTCTCGTAAAGTTGGTGCGAGAAGTTGCCACTTCTGTGAGCGCAGAGCCCTTTGACTGCTCACGGCCTGTCCTCTTAGCCAAACCATCTCAATTACGAGACGAGGCCGTTTCCGGATGTTTCGTAATACCTCACTATGAGTAAATAGCAAGTAGAACAATTTCTCGTTAACCTGGGAGTTCACGTTGAGAGTGCGTCTCTTGTTGAAATGAATTCCGACATGATGCACGTATCCCTCACTCAAACAAATCTAACGTAGATGCGTCAGATAATTAAAATCCAGGGTGCATGAAGCCCCTGAGATACATTTTTCACAGTCGTTAAACTGCGCTTAAGTACGGTAATTATACTGTGCATTCACACCATTGTTATCAGCTAGTCCTTGTTTACACGCTGTTGATGACACCAAACGTCAGTTCGCCGAACAAGAGATGTCGGTCCGGTTCACTCTTCTCACCGTTTCCACGACGAATACCTCACCGTTCGTGTCCTACTCCTGTCTCCTAAAAATAGCAACTGCCAATCACAGCTTCCCGAGTTGTGCAGCAGAGGGACGTTCCCCGTCGGAGCGATAGGGGAAGTCGGATCTCCAAGTTGTCAGATAGCATCGCCTCTCTGAAGAGCTCCCGTTAACAGATGGTCTGGTGGGCTTTAAACTCAGATCACACGCCGAACACCTTGCCGCGCCAAGCCGCGTCTGTTTTCCCGCCAAGGGGGATATTTCCGTCTTCTTGATCAGAGAGGCTAATTGCCAGTGTTGAACTCTGTGACGACTCGCGCATCTGCTGCCTGTGGACCATATTGGCCGGACTTATCCTGAAGTCTGCTCGAAATACTTACAGAATGTTATGCTGACATGCTGTCCTTGCCGTCGTGTTGGGTAAACCCTCTCAGTGGTATGTTCTCTTCTATGCGACCCTAGGGCCAGTAGAGAAAGGGGAGATTTGTCAGAGTTAATCAGGTGGGATCCCTTTACGGCCACGTCAAGAGCAGACTATTGAAGGAAGCTGAGGTTCAGCAATGCCAAGTGTTCATATCATGGCCTCATCTGTTCCTCTAAACATAGACGCTCTTTGGAGGAGAGAATGTTGCCGATGCTGCCTACAGATCAACAAGGCTGGCTCATCTTAACAATCCATCGCCGACTCCCTGCTCTTCACCCATGTGTGGGATCTAATGCCTGGGTTACACATAAAAGTCCACCTACTCTGGCTCTGAATATCACACACAGCAGCCTTTTCATCTGGCTCATAAATAGTCAAACATCACTGTATTACTGCACAGTATCTTGCATTTAGCAGTTTGCCTAAGTTTGGATATTTATTTGATATTACACCAGTAGTGACATTATTATCTTTCATCAATTTCAATACCATAAAAATAATTTCACCCCTTTATGGATATTTCCATGTTATCGCACTTTCACCCTAATTGAATACTATCACATCTTCAACAAAAACTTCATGAAACAGAACCTAAGTGATGAAGTAATGAGATTTGATACTATTTGAGATAATTTAATACAATTAAACTTAATTTTCAGTGCAACACCCAGGAGGCACTGTGGAAATGGTCACCGCTCACTCACACTCCACAACTGGTTAAACAACGTTCTGCAGCCACAAGCAACTGCTGTAATTATCAATCAGTCTGGCAGAATACCTTGGGGGAATTTTGGCCCTGTGGTGCTTAAAACTCAGTGACATTTCTGGGTTTTCAAGCACCAACTGCTCATTTTGGGCCACACAGAGTCTGGGTGTTGACCAGGCCAGAATATCTTCTTGTTCCTCTGCGATTCAGACGTAGACGTTATGTCTCGTCTTGCTGACCCAGCCGAACACCAGCTTTCTGCTCCCAGACAGGCTTGGTGTCCTCCTGCAGTCTTTGTTTTTTTGTGCTGTGGAGCAGAATATATGGTTTCTTCAAGCTTTTGTGGTCCGACGCTGTAGAAGATGTCCAAACCATGACATGTGTCACCATGATTGCACAGTGGAATGAAGTTCTTAGTGCAGAATGCAATGTTTGGGTTTCACCAGACACAATGGGGCTCGTGTCAGCAAAAGAACCTCACTGTGGACTCATTCGACGGCACATCATTATTCCGGAAACATTCAGGTGGCTTTTAAGAAACAGACAAGCATTCCTGTCCTTCTCAGTGAGCTCTGGTTTCTGTTACACTGCTCTGCATTGCATTCCATTTCTGCTAATTGTCCTTATAATTGGGTAGCCAATCGCTGACCTCAGCTAGTTAGTCAGGTAGACTTCTTTGTGACTTCCTGGAAGCTGTTATACCTTGATCCTGGAGATATTTTGGCAGAATATTGAGGAAGACATTACTGCCCAGTCTTCACCCTTGACTTGGCCCTGCCTGTTAGAGTTATGTTTAGTTGAATTGGTCCTCATTGGCCCTTGACTAGCCTTAACTAGAGGTGCAACATCAAACACCTGAAATGTCATGTTCTTCCTCCCAGATTCCCTCCAAGTACTTTTAAACCCCAAATTGTTTCACTTTCTCGCAGTGTTTCCTTTTTTTGAATCGCTCTGGACGAGCCCGAGAGGAGATGCATGACGACCTCACCTCATCTTCTGTAGCTCTCGTCATTCTCTCCGTAATCCGAAACAACACCTTTGAGACAGCGGACACAAAAAGGGTTTTGTTTGAAGCTAATCTTCAGCATGCCAGGAGGTACCCCAGCGCCCGTGATGGGCAGGGGCCGGCCTGCTGGATGCTGTCGGCCTCTCGGGGGGCCTCCTCTCTGGCTGATTGCACCCCAGACATGGACTATAACTGGGGATTAGGGGCGGATTTTCCAGCTGGCTCTATAGTGACTGGTCAAGCATGTCCTGCGGCACCCCCTAAGCAAAGCTGGATGTGAACTCCAGGAAAGATACGAGAGTATTTAGGATAAATGGGATGGAAAGCACAGCCTCTACAGAAGAGCAATGGGGGATGTTTCCATCCATCCATCCATCCATCATACACTACAGGCAATTTAGAGACACCAGTTAGCCCAACTGCTTGACTCTGGGCTGCAGGGCAGGAAATCCTGCTTAGCCCAGGGAGAGCATGAAGACACAGTCAGCAGAGGTGGGTTTCTGACCCCTAACCATGGATGTGTGAAGCAACAGCGCCACCTACTGAGCTGTAGTGGTCACCCACAGAATAAGATGACAAAGTTTATTTATAAAAGTTTACCTTGTCAGGGTCATACTGGCACAAGGTTCGGTGATTGTGATACAAACAGAAATGAGGGACTTATTTCACTAGTGGGGGAGGGGGCAACTGAATGGCAGAAGCGATGACAGGGAATGAGATTACAGGTTTGGGGATTAGAATGAGCCGGAATTCAGGGGAACAAAACAGGGCACTGATTACACAGGCCGCAGAGAAGGAGCGGCGGCTGGATCTGATCATGAAGGGTACTGGATCCCATTCACCATCACCATTACAACTGGAGGGGGGGAGGTGGGGCGGGGGGGGTTACTGCTTTCTCTTAGCTTTGGTGTAAAATTTTGGCATGACATCTTGATTTATAAAACTACATAACCTGCCGTAAGAAAACAGATTAAATTTTTGAATGTCTTCGTCAAAAATAGATATTTATTAGCAATATATAAAGTAAGCATATATATCTTGGTTCATATAACATGGCTTAACAAAGCAAAAATAGTTCAAACGGAAATGTATGCTACTGTTTGCTCTTATCAGTATGTACGGCACGATTCGACCAAATGTGCCATCATAAAAGGCAGTAGTATTGTGGGATTGTTTTGGTTCTGAGAAAAGTCAGAGAAAATGGCAGATTTTTGTGCATTTATTGAAAAAATAATGAAAGTCGCGTCTCAGATTAATTAGTGCTGGATCTCCACAAGCTTTTAATTAGCATCGTTTATTTAGAGCAAAAATCAATAAGATTGACTCTGTTTGAGTTCCTCATTATGCGGATGCTTAAATTAATTACTAAAAGGCTTAAAGGGGTATACTTAGGGGGTACAGTTGAAGAGTATACATGCAGAGTGTATTTGAAGAGTATACTTGAGGAGTGTATTTGAAGAGTATATTTGAGGAATGTATTTGAAGAGTATATTTGAGGAGTGTATTTGAGGAGTGTATTTGAGGAGTACATTTGAGGAGTGTATTTGAGGAGTATATTTGAGGTGTATCTTTGAGAAATAGTTGTTATGGTTTTCCTTATTCAAGGGTGTGTGGGAGTGGACAGACTGTGAGGTGAGTGTAAAACAAGGCCAGCCATTCAGAGCAGCTTGGCCACACCCCCTGAGCAATTTGTCCTGCCTGTGGTTCCATCTGACCACGCCCACATTTATATGGCTCCACCCACTGTAGCACCTTGCTACAGTGGGTGGGCCACCGAGTCCTGGCACACAGCCAGAGAGACGTCTGGCCAGTCCACCTGCCAGCGTCTCTATTATTGCAGAAGAAGCGGCTTCTCTAACGGCAAGCGCCAGGCCGGCGCTTTCCGAGGCCTGATCAAAGTGACGATAAACAAGGGGGGCGTTCTCTGCAGCCGCCCAGCAGCCGTGCCGACGCATTTCCTGCGCATCGTGCCTCTGCTCCATCACATTATGGGCTTTATTGTCAAACCGCTGTCAAACTAAAAAGGCGTTTAGCTGGAGGAGGTGCGAGTTTGAAACGCTGGCGGCATCACAGAGTGGTTCAGGTGAGCCGCTTACACGTCGCTTTTTTGTTTTGTTTTGGTTCTTTGCAGTGGGTGGTTAAGTCTGATTCAGAGGGCGGCCCCATACGCAGACTGATTTTGGGGGGTGCATATGGGCCTGGTGTGCGCCCTCCACCAGCCAGGTGCGGATATTGTATTTTGATCCCCCCTGTGTTGTAAACGTTGGGGGGGGCTACGTGTTACCTGGGAGGCCTGACTGGCAGCGAGCCGTCAAGGTAATTGGCTGAGCTGTCAGGCGAATGGGGCTAAGGCACACAGAGCACGCTCTGCACAGGTGGCACGGCAATTAAGGCGCAGCGAAGAGAGCCGGAGGGGGAG